CTCATTCAACTGCTTTTTCTGGTTCCTCTTTTTCCTTTTTCTTACCTTAAAAGAACAATTCAATCATCATTTTCCGGAGCAACTAGAACGGCTTCAGAGATTCAGGTAAGTTTGACTGCTGGATGAATTCTTAATATTATCATGCCATGCAACCCAGTACTTCACAAAAAAAATTTTTTTAGCATTACAAAACCAGTATCACAAACTTTAGACAAAATCATCAATTTGTTTGTGCACCACCTCACCATAAACCTAGCTAAGCTCAAATGTAATCCATCGCCGTACCGCACTCACATTACTGCCACACTTATTCGAGTCAGCCGAATTTCAAGACGTCGTTTGCGGTTGCTGTTTTGTGTTTACAGTATGAGAATATGGCAACAAGCATGTTGATGCTAATCGCTTAAAAATACTAACTCTTTGACTTCTTCTTTTTCTTTTTCTTTTTCCTTTTTTCTCCATCTTTTGATGCATGACTTTTCTTGTGTTTCTTCTTTTTCTTTTTCTTCTTCTTACCCTCGCCTCCTGATGCATTCACATCGCTTCCTGATGTGCCCCTACAAATTCAGGATGGATTACCTCGCGACTTGTCTTCGCTCTTTACGTGGGCACACGCCAACCGATCCCCATGTTACTCTCAATGCTGCGCAGACCTCTTCAGGGTAACAAATTCAGGATATCACTCATTGATTTTATCACCTCGCTTGGTGAGCTGTTGTCGACTGTTGACTTCTAGATACGGAGGCTATTCATCGTATTAGCTGTAAGTTATTATGTGCAAATAATTTATGATCGTAAACTGTAGACGTATTGAAGAAATGTTTCTGCATTATGTTCCTTGAACAGGTCCGAGAAAGAACATTGCAAGCAAAACATACGTTGATATTCCGCCATCTGTAGTGCTTCCTCTGAAAACGGTAAAGCTATATAATTTAAGTGAGGCATCAAATAATTATCGTATACATCGAAATCATATGTTTCCTTATTGCTTCAAAAATATCAAAGTTTTCTTCAGTCAAGAAAGTTCGACTAAATATACAAAATTGGTTTGAGCGATTCAGAATGGAACGAAATGGAATGGTGTTCCTGAGACTTACTTTCCCTCATCACTGGAATCAGTTGTTGCTGACGCCCCTGTTGAATCAGCTGTTGCAGGCTG